TGCAGCCCCCTCACTGGGTGAACCTGGCCCCCGGGGTTCAACCGATGACTTGTGCTTTTCCCAGTGCCGACGAGGAGCCAATGAGAAAGAGAAGGAGCCGGAGCTGAATGCCCAGCCATGGCCGGGCCCTGGATGGCGGCTCCCTGTTGGAGGGCCCTGCTCCTGCTGCTGGCCTCCCAGGCGGTGGCCCTGGTGAAGTGCTCGGAAGCTGATGACGTTCCCGAAGAGTGGCTCCTCCTGCACGTGGTTCAGGGCCAGATTGGGGCGGGGAACTACAGCTACCTGAGGCTGAACCACGAGGGGAAGGTGGTCCTGAGGATGCAGAGCCTGCGAGGGGACGCCGACCTGTACGTGTCCGACAGCACCCTCCACCCCAGCTTCGATGACTACGAGCTGCAGTCGGCCACCTGCGGCCAGGACGTGGTCTTCATCCCTGCCCACTTCCAGCGCCCCGTGGGGATAGGCATCTACGGACACCCGTCGCACCACGAGAGCGACTTCGAGATGAGGGTCTATTTCGACAGGACGGTGGACCAGTACCCCTTCGGCGAGGCTGCCTACCCGGCCGAGGGCGCCGAGGGCGGCCAGCAGCAGGCCCACGGCCCCGAGGAGGCGGCACCCGAGGAGGAATCTGTGCTCTGGACCATACTCATCAGCATTCTGAAACTGGTCCTGGAAATCCTGTTCTGACTCCCAGCCACACTCCAGGGCAGTGCCCGCGGCCGTGGGGGCTGGCTACTTCCACCTGGCTGAGTTCTGGTTCCTTTCTCTAGAGGAGGGGTGGAAAAATAAAGCCATACCGTTTTGTTACCTCACATCCCCAAAATAGGAAAAGCAGGTAGTAGTTTTTCTTTTGAAGCTCCAAATTTCTACAAACGGAAATGCCCAATTAAACATTTAATCTCCATTATGATCAGTTTGTCAGGCCACCTGAAAGTTATTACGGCAACTAAAGCTTACATAAAAGAAACCAAAATATGAAGTTCAGCATGTTTTCAGGAGTTCTTATTAAAATCAAGTCTGAAATGCAATGATCTACTTAAATTTCCCTGAACATGGACTAAAGACCCAAGTCTGCCCCAAGTAGGGATGTATTATCTTCTGTGTGTACAATTCTAAATCCCCCTCTGTACCAGTCTAATCAGGCCATTTGCCATTTTACCATTTTGGGCTTCCTATCACTAAAGTTCTTTAGTTATTAGGTAATTTTTGTTTTACTACTTATGGCAGGTCAGAAGCACCACCACAGAGTGGAAAGGGTAAAAACAGTAGTTTTTCAGTCTAAAAGTTAAAATATTTCCAATTAAGTTGCTAAATATTTCTACTCAATTTTTTAGAGAAAGCCAAACCACTGAAATTTAAAGAAAAAAAATATCTTTTTGGAATAGTTGCAGTTTCCTTACCTGTAATTAGGTTCAAGGGTAACAGCTTATAATGAAATGAGTCAACTAGCAGATTTTAAGCTCAGAGTTAATTTCAAAAATCCTTTATTGGCATAAAAATGAGGCTGTTTTAAATAAATCAGCACCAAATATTCCACTTCAGTGCATATACATTAGAGCCCCCAAAAAGGATTTTATCCCTCTTTGCTGTTTTTCCCCCTTCTGCCCACTTTCCTGGGTGTTGGGGGGGCTCGCTGACAACAGTCACAGATCCAGCGACCTAGGAGAAAAATCGTTGTTAATATAGAGTGGAACCTTATTTTTATAGGACTGAATATTAAACCATTTAGGTCTCCTTCCTTAGCTGTCACTAGTGATGATCCCCGGTGGATTTATGTAAATGTCCCTTAAGATGACCGGTAAGCTCAGTAATCAAATCCTAATGCAGAACCTGGCACAGAATCTGGCCTCCTTCAGCTTTTTTCTTGGCTGCTCCAACAGCATTCTCAAATCCTGGTATACTATGCTGACACAGCGATTTGAAAGTTTTAACTGCAGGCTAGGCTGCACTACATACTTGGTCTGAATTTCTACAGAACATTAAATAATTATTTAACTTGCTTGCTTCTCAGTGGTTCCCGGGAAACAGATCTAGGCATATATTTTATAGAGTATCATACAGTGTTAACTATGCAAATAAGTTCTAAAGTTACACAATTATCTGTGTAATGTCTTAGTCCAATTACTGTAACTGACCGATTGTGTTCTAATTCTAAAGTTACCTGGAATTGTCGCAATGCCTCAGTTTATGGATGTATGTTCTAATGTGTAAGGTGAAGCAATCTAAGTTTCTAGATAGTTGACATATAAAAATAAAATCAAAGCACTAAAACAAACTGATGCTCTTAAAGTACTTTAGCTATTTCAGCAGGAAAACACCAGCTCATTCTGTACATTGAACTGTACTTCCAAAGCAGCCTAGGTGCTCTGACATTTGTCTTTTAGTTGTATTTGTCTAAAGATGAAAAGAAGGTGAGCGTGACCTGGGTAATAATGGCTTCTACCATGTTTGGACAGAATGGTCTGCGGGCCATTTCCTTCATGTCATTAGAGTGTCTGTGTAGCCTTAAGAAGATGCTGGGAGAGTCTCACCAAAGATAATGCACTTTTAAAATCTTTACCTGATGGAATAGCACCAAGGCCCACACAAAAAGTATGATAACCTCTGTCACACACATCACAGAACATCATTTCTTCTTCGTGGTGGGGCTGTCCACATACAATGCATGTCTTACACTCCATACACTGCCATGGGTAGGTCTTAATGATAGAAACAAGCTCCATGGTCATGTCCAGGCAAGAAGGATGGCCTAAATCAAAACCAACAGTAGCATTTCACAAAGGGCTTTTAACTAATTTGGCACATAAAATACTGGTCTGCTTCAGGACTTGCCAACAATGGCTACAGTACTTAAATCACCAAAGATACGAAAACACCCAGCCTTGTCACACAAGATTACCCTGTTACTGCATGACCACTGAACTGAAGTCCAACTGACTTCTACAAACTCTAGTCTTTGAAGCAACAAATAGGGTGGGGTCATAATCTTAGAAGATGTCACCGTACTTACCACTGTTATCACACTGGGAGCAGTGTATAAGTGACTCAGCCTTTCCTTTCTTGTTGGACTCCTTACCCTTCAGACAAATCCCACATAGAGCATTTGGAATGACCTTTGGCTGGAGGAAGGGTAGAAGAGGACTGTAAATTCATGCAGGAGCTTGCTGTGGTTCAGGGGACTGTTATTTTGTCACCTTATCTTTACTTCTGGGAACTCACTATTGAGGACTTTGAAAGACATAACTGGG